CGCCATGAGCCAGCTGGATTTGTACACGCATGCTTGGGCGGTGATTTCATGTATGGAGGACCCTAGCATTATTTCCTTGAGAGCGCTGCGGCAGTCCCTGGAGCACCGAATTTGCATTAGCTTGTCGGATCGAAAGCGGGACATACGACATTTTGCCGAGATTGCTGTCGCAAAGTTGGCTGCTCGAGTGTAGGAGTCAGGCACCTCTCGTAAACATCATGTGTGTAGTGATCGCCCTGTCGGGAATACACTTTGCACGGGAAGCCGCGAGAAATCTGGCCACAACATGAGCAGAGGTCGGCAGGGCAAGCTGACGAAGCTGTGTGGCAAGTATGTAGGAAAGTGGGAGCCGATTCCTCTTGTGTTGGGGACACCGGATCGGGGTCGGATGCTTTTCCCTTCGCATAGCAACCACTTGGATGAGATTCATTGCGACGTCCAGCTCGACGCAGCTTGTTGGGACCCCCTCGATCTGCCTCAGGCACAGCATTCAGCCAGATGGGAACTTGCTTTCACAAAAAACGATCGCTTGTGGAGATGTTGCCTCTACCATGTTCCTCAGTGGGCTTTGTGATGGTGATCTGCGCCATGGCAGGTACATGGCTTGCTGCATGCTGTTCGGTGGTGACGTCAATGCTGCTGTGGTTTCCATCATGTCCAAACGCGCCATACAATACGTGGGTTGGTGTCCAGTTGGGCTCACATGCGGCACAGTCAGCCAGATGAAGCCGGAGATTGTGACAGCCATGAGCGCTTGCATCCAGGAAAGCGGCCAGGACAAGCAGTCCTCCACAAACGCCATGACAGACAATCCCCACAGCATGATAGACTCTGGCTAGCTCAGTTTGATGGCATCTTCCTGATGAGGGCAATCTTCAACAGGTGCCTTTCGTTTTGCGGTTCGGCCTTCAGCTTCTATGGGTTGGTCTGACCTCGCGAGATGTGAGGGACAGCTTTTACAGATCGCTGTTGCTGGTTCCATCCCTCACTCCTTTAAGCGCAATGCTTCTCGTACCTTGCTGTTCCCTATAGTGCATACACACGGCGGTGTGATTTCTGCTCAGGGAGGCAAGAGTACTTCCGCTGAAATGTTACTTAGGTGCTCAACATGGGCGCGTCCAACGGACCCAAAGCCCGCAAATGAGAAATGAGAAATGAGAACACCCCCCCTGAGAACACCCCATCTTTGCTGAGCTCCTCCACGGAGAATCCTTGGCAAGTCGGAGAGCGGGGTGTCAGGTGCTAGGGGAGATCCAACTTCTTCTTGGTATGTCCACCCATACACGCCCATCAGTAGCTGTGCCTGCCTAAACCATCGGGCAGCTCCCAGCCTTCAAAAGAAGATTTGGTGTACTTTCAAGGTCAAACTGAGAACTCTGGAAGAGCCCTACCGCATCACAAATCTAGGCTCGAGGTTTTGATGCTGAGCTGGGCCCATCCAGGGCTTTCCACGTCTTCCAAGGCCCTCCAGCATACGGTCACCAAATAAAACAAACAAACAATTCGACAATTATATTGCTTCAAGGGGCCGTCGTCGCCCCAAATGCTGCGGACGTCTGACATGCTTTCCGTGTTGACGGCCTGGCCAAGGACAACTAGGACGAAGACTCACCTAACCTATTCTCGAGCATGTCCAACACTTGACCTATTGCTTGGAACTGTTGTTTGGAGCTATGCATCACGGCAGACCGAGTAATGCTCCACCGACCACAGGGCAAATGTGGCTAGCCTTGCCTGGATGCGAAGCACTTGAGTTTCCAGTTGCATCGCAGAAATCGATGGCAGTTCTTTGGCTCACACAGAGTCTACGCGCTTCTTACACTCTGAAGCCTCGCCTCCTCAGATATTCGGATTAGGTCGTCCAGCTCTTCGAAAGGCCAGTCATTCATGTCAAAGGCAAAATCCTCGCGATTGCTTGCCGTGGAAACCGGGATGCTGTCTTGTCAAATGCCATCTTGGCTGCAAAGCTTACCACTGCTGCCCCCGCACACTTCACCGAAATGGCATCCATGACAAGCGTGCTTTCCCTATAGTGATTGTTGCAAGACTAATTGCTCCCTTGCCTGGAGTCTCACTTTTCTTCAGCGACCGGGCTGGATTATGACTTCTAAAGCTTACCTACCCGGAGCCGCCGGGGAGCGGTGGATCTTCCTGTATTTCTTGAAGGTCAACTCCCTACCACACAAATTTCAGGGATGTCCCCAGACCAGACATGCATAATTGGAGATGTTGAAATGTCTGGGCGAGTCCTCGCTATCCAGCTCGTACTCCTCCAGGGACATGACGACTTCACCACTGCCTGCAAAAGTGGCTGTTCCAAAACACACACAGTTCGCTCCCTCTCTGTCATGATTTGGCCAATCATAGCCACGGCACGCCCTCTTCTTACCAGAGCCGTGGAAGGAATGTCAGGCAAGATTGATGTCATCTCACTATGAGAAGCGCTTGGGCATTTCAACTACTATTCCATGAGGTCTGCATTCGAGTCTGAATGCTCCGCACCCTCCCGCCGATCACAAAAGACCCTTTCGCAAGATCCCCGAACAGCTTTGGGTCGCATAGCGGCGAGACAGCAAGTTAAAATGCATCGGTATCACAAGACATGGCCCCCATCATGGGAGATGAGGGTTAGAAAGGGGTCATCACACGCATCCCGCGGGCAGCAAGCTAGTTCGCAGCCATGTCAGTATTAAAAGTCAGCAAAAGCTTCCATGAACCAAAAACTGAGGATCTTAGCTCTGAGGATGCTTCAATTTTTTATTCGGTTGGAGAGGCTCCCCTGCAAGACGCCTCTCACCCCATTTTCGATACACATCCCCATATTCATATTTGATGAATCCGTACACATCCGTAAACATAATCTCTATGATTCAAAAAGTATGGGACCCATCATTTCTTGAGCCCACGCCTTGCCTCGCGCCCGCCATTTCTGCCTGCCCGCCGCGCTGGCGAGCTCCCGAGAGGCCCAGACGAGGCGTTTGAAGCGGGCCTTTTGTGCTTGGAAATTTCTGTGAAAAATCAAGGGGTTCCGGATAGGTCTCGCAGCAGCTGAACATGTTCTGGGTTGTGGTGTGGGAGGTGTGCACGCTGTGGCTGAACTGGCAAAAAAAAACATGTGCTAGCTGCTAGCGTTCTGAGGGCTTGTAAATCTGAAGTACTGCAACATGGAGGCCAATCCTGACATGGACAATCCATACCGAGGGTGCTGGGCGATGCATATGGGGGGACAGAAATCAACAGCCCAACGCCTAGAAGCTTGCCATGTATCGCATGCTTGGTTTGCGTATGCCTGGTTCGCAGGCTAGCTAGGGGTTCATGGAGGTCTTCTCTTAGAAAGTTTTGCGGCAGACTCTACGTGAAACCTTCCATGTGAAGTGCAGAGCTTTGGTACCTACGAAGTCGATGCAACAGCCCTGGTCACCTCCTTATAGCCGAGCCCGGACCTCGCTGCCCGTCTCTGGCACGTCTGGATGCAGCTGGCGCGCTAGCTTGCCTTGGTACCGGGTTCTGGGACAAAGCTGTGTTCTTCTCAGCAGATGTGCGGTTACAGCAAAAGACCAAGTGAACCAGAAAGAGCCCAAACCACATCAAAGCAGGCTTTGGAGAAGCTCTTCAACAGAACGCCCTGTAGGAACAAAGGGTTTCTCGGGAACCATCACTGGAAAGAAACACAGACACAACATCTGCATGCTCTTCTATATAGTCAGCTCGCTTACTGATTCGGAATGGGAACAGAGGGGGTTGAGGGACCTGTTGACTCTCGGCTACTAGGTGAAACAAAAATCTGATTGCGCCATAGTGTGGTTCCTTCAATGCATTCTAGGGCCCGTGGGATGTGTTTCAACAAATTCCCCAAAATCATTGCCCCCCCAAGTCTTGTCAACTCCCAAACAGAAAGTCCAGTCTGCTGCACGCTGAGACGCGGAATGCTGGCTTGATCTCCTCATCGTTGCAATCCTCCAAAAGCCGGGCGCGTTTGCCAAATGCAAGATCAATGGAATAGCTATAGCAGTCAAGATGACCCGTAGCACTATTCTCAGGATGAGGCACATTTGAAGATACATCTGAAGGGTCGACTCGAGGACCATATACCACAAGCAGCACTGAAGCGCGCTCACAGGATCTACACAAGTCTCGTGAAGTCTCTCATTGCATGTCGGCATAGGTGTCGCAACATGATCAAGCGAGAAAAACATTGGCATTCCTAAAGGGGTGCGGCCCGAATCGGCCACCAAAAAGGCCCGAATCGGCCACCAAACAGG